GATTTTTGGTTTTGTGTTTATTTTGGTTTTGATACTGGGGACTGAACCCAGGGCTGCTTTATTACTGAGCTACATCCCCAGTCCTTTCAATTTTTTTTTTTTTAATATTTTATTTCTTAGTTTTCGGCAGACACAACATCTTTGTTTGTATGTGGTGCTGAGGATCGAACCCAGGCCGCACGAATGCCAGACGGGCGGGCTACCGCTTGAGCCACATCCCCAGCCCTCAATTTTTTTATTTTTGATCTTGCTAAGTTGCTGAGGGCTCACCAAGTTACTGAGGCTGACCTTGAACTTGCCATCCTCCTGCCTCAGCCTCCCAAATCACTGGGATTATAGACAAATCCCTATATCCATCTTGAATTGATTTTTGTACATGGTGTAAGATAAGGATTCAATTTCTCTTTCTTCTTTTTTGCCTGTGGATATCCAGTTTTCCCAGCACCATTTATTGTAGACTATCCTTTCCCCATTGTATATGAATGTAAAATAAATTGTTATAACTATGGTTTATATGAGCCTTGATAATCACAAAGCAAAAACCTACAGTAGGTATACAAAAGTTAAAGACATCAAAGCGTATTAAAGAAAATCATCAAATCACAAAAGCAATAAAATAAATTTAAAAAAAATCACAAAAGCAGATAGTGAGAGGAAGAAAAGACCAAAAGATCTAAAAAAAGGGCAAGAAAACAACTAACAATACCAAGTTCTTTACCTAACAATAATTATTTTTTATGTCAATGCATTAAATTTTCAAATCAAAACACAGAGTTGTTGAGCAAGTWAAAAGACCAAATCTAACTGTAGGCTGCCCACAAGAGACTCACTTCAGCTTTAAATACAGACTGAAAAGTAAAGGCAGAGAAAAAGATATTCCACACAAATGAAAAAAAAAAAAAAAAAAGACAGCAGTGACTGCTATACAGACAGCAGCAATCATAGTTGTGGCTCAGTGGTAGAGCAYTCGCCTAGCATGTGGGAGGCCCTGGGTTTGACCCTTGGCACCACATAAAAATAAATAAAATTAAGGTAACGTGTCCAACTACAACTAAAAAATAAATATTTTTTAAAATTTTTTAATTAAAAAAAAAAAACAGGCCAGGTGCAGTGGTAGTCCTAGTTACTCAAGAGGCCAAGGCAGGAGCAGGAGGACAGCTTGAGCCCAAGAGTCTAGACCAGTCTAGCAGGGCCCTATCAAAAAACATTTTTTAAAGCCAGGTGCAGTGGCATACACCTGTGATCCCATTGACTTGTAAGGTTAAGGCAGGAAAATCTCAAGTTCAAGGCCAGCTTGAGGAACCTGGCAAGACCCTCAAAATAAAAAATAAAAGGGGCTGGGAATATAGCTCAGTGAAAGAGCAACCCTGGGTTCAATCCCCAACAGATAAAAAAGAGAGAAAGATGACATGTACAAATTTCACTAGAGAATTGACCACAGAATAAAAAATTCAATGTACCTTACTAAACTAAAATATATAATACCAGAAATTAAAAACTATATGAATAGATTTAGATTTAGCAAGATTTTATGCAACAGGATTARTAAAGTAGAAGACAAGTCCATAGAAAATACCCAAACTGAACCACAGAAAATAAAAAGAGAGTGGGTAAGATGAGCATATTAAAGACATAAGTAACATGCTCAAGAAAGAGGTGTAATACACATATGACTGAAATTCTGGAAAGAACGGAGAGACAAGGGAGTAGAATACTGTTTGAGTATCTTTTTTTTAATGTTTTTATTAGTGCATTAAGGTTATACATAATGGAGTTCATTTTGGCATAATACATGCATAAACTTTGAATAACTTGTGACCAAAAATTTTCTAAAACTGATGAAAGACAACAACTTTAAAGCAATATTGAACACACTGCTTTAAGAATTTCATCCAACCCCAAGATAACACAAAGAAAATCACCACTGCACACGTCATAGTCAAACTGCTAAAACACAAAAATAGAGAAAATATTAAAGCCGGGGGAGATGCATTTCCTTCAAAAAGCTATAAGCTGTGTACTCAACAGAAAAGATGAAAACTGAAACAGGACCTAACCTAAAATTCTATACCCAGAGAAAATATTTTTCAAATATGAAGGTGAAATAGGGACACTTACACATTGTTGGTAGGATACACAATGGTGCAACTGCTGTGGAAACCACCTTGGCAAGTCCTCAAAAGATAAAAGTTATCTTATGACCCATTAAGTGTACTCCAGGACATCTACTGAAATGAACTGAAAATATAAAACACACAAAAACTAGTAGCCAGGTGCGGTAGCGCATGCTTATAATCCCAGCAGTTCGGGAGGCAGAAGTAGGAGGATTGCAAATTCAAAGAAAGTCTCGGCAACTTAGCAACTCAGCAAAGACCTTGTCTCTAAATAAAATGTTTAAAAAGGGCTAGGGATGTGGCTCAGTGATTAAACGCCCCTGGGTTCAATCCCTAGTACCAAAAAAAAAAAAAAAAACTAGTACACAAATGTTAAGAGAGACATTACTTATAACAGTCAAAAAGTGAAAACAATCCAAATGTCCATCAACTGATGAATAAACAAAATGTGA